TTGGGGTCGAGAAACCCATTTTTAGATCTTTCAGAGGTCATGTAAAATAATTTGAGGAAATTAGGTAACTCTAAAATTTGTACCATGGATTTCTAGCTGAGGAAATATATATTGAGTGAAACTTAAAAAAAATATACAAAGTTACATTTAAACTAGATCAATGGAGAAAAAGAAACTACAGAGTTGATCTACAAAAAGGGCAAATTTATACTGCTAATTATTATTTAATTAATCCAATATTCAACATTCATGTAATAAAGTCATAAATGCTTGGGAAAATTCTGATAAGATTGCTTTTGCTTGTGCCATTTCAAGGAGATGAGAGGATATTGATGATATTTTCTGGTATTAACTCAGTGGTACAAATCTATACAAACATCAAAGTATTAATATTATTATGAATCAAAACAATGTAGCAGTTGTAGTAGATAGACTTTGCTACCAAACTGGGATGCCAAAATTTATTTAAAAAATTCTTTATCTATGAGGTGAAAATGGCAGCATAACCATAAATTAAAGGATTAGAGCTGTATGAAATTTGAGTTCATTCAAACCATGAACTCAAAGCAAGACTTAGATGAACTTACCAAATTTCATTTGGTGTCCACCTGAGACTATAAATTCTCCTCTGGCACTCAAATGGAGGAAGAACATTCACCTAAAATTCAAACCAGATTTCTTTAAACCTAACCCAGACTCCCTAACTTTAGGATGAACCACTCATTGAATTTTGAATTCATAATAAAACTTTCACCCATCATTAGCCAATGGTGAATGAATGATGGTTTGGTGGGAGATGTAGAGAAGGCGATCCCTGGAATTGCTGTTCTGTCTCCTCTTATTTCATAGTTTCAAATAATAATCTGGAAAAAGGAGATATATAATAAATTAATTAATTTAACTGGGAAGTTAAATGGAAAGATATAGTATACATTAAAAACAGGAAATAATTTAAGTAGACTTTGATAGTGAACTGTGCAAATTAAGGATAGTGTCATACAACATAAAGGCAGATTACAACATGTGGAGTAAGGTGGAGGGAATGTATTGCTATGCAGACATTGAATCTGCTGAAACACCCTTGGGAAATAGTCATTTTGTCAGGCATCTCAGGATGATAGTCAGATAATCTCTTGAAATCCAATATGACAACAACAAAAAAAATCAGTAACCCAATTCTTGTCCTCAAGGAGTTTCATTGAAGGATGGGGTGGGGTGGATAAACCAATTGCATAAACCACTATAGTATAACATATGTTATAACAAAGGTCATGAGAGGGGAAAAAGTTCTATGGAAGGTAAGAGGAAGAAGAGATCATATGCAGTTGATGGATCAGGAAAAATTTTATGGATAATAATGATTATATCTAAAACATATGTAATAATGATAAGAACTAGTATTTATATAGCACTTTTAATAGCTATTTTGTAGATGAAGAACCTGAGGTAAAGGTTAAATGACTTGTCCAGAGTCACATAGCTAGAAAGTGCCTGAAGCCAAATTTGAACTCAGGTCTTCATCATACCATATCTAGCCCTCCATCTATTGCACCATCAGCTGATTCTAATAATATGAAATTATTATCTGTGTCTTATAGTTTCAGAAGATGGAAGATAGGGTACATTTAAGAACAGTATCATAGTTTAGTGGTTAAAGTATTGGATTTTTGAGTCAGCATTATGTGGTTTATATTTTACCTTTGATATATTAGCTATGTAACCACAGGGCATTCATTTAACTTCTCCATGCTTCAGCTCCTTATTGTAAAATAGAAATGTTAACATCTGTCATATCTACTTCATCAGGCTGGTATGAGGATCAAATCAGATAATGTACATAGTTATTTGCAAACTCTAAAATTGTATACACATATATATTATATACATACATATATGCTAGATATTATTACATAATTTGCCAGTGCCATCATAGGGGCAGAGTTTTGAAAGATCAGATTTTAATTCAGTCTTTCCAGGTAATAGAGAGAGCATGAGCAAAGATGCAGATGTGAGACTGTATAGGGCACATTCAGGTGACAGTCAGCTATCTACTAGATTTGAAGAATATCCATGTAGTGGAGGAATGGGTGATAGACTAAAACTATAGGTTGGAATCATATTGCGGAGGGCCTTGAATGTCAGACTGAGGAAAGTGTATTTCATTTGGTTAGCAATAGGAAGTTTTAATTTAAAAGTTTTTGAGTTGAGTTGATTTTTGAGGGAAGGGAACAAGCATTGATGTAGTACCTGTTATTTGCCAGGCACTCTGCTGAGCACTCTATAAATATATCATTTGATTCTCACAATAAACCTACAAGTTAGATGCTGTTATTATCCTCATTTTACGGTTGAGGAAACTAAGGCAAACAGAGGTTAAGTGACTAGCCTAGGGCCATATACCTAGTCAGTGTCTGAAGCTGGATTTGAAATTAGGTCTTTTTAACACCAGGCCTGGGTGCTCTATCTACTGTGCCCTAATAACACAATCAGAGTTGTAAACTGGGGACGTGTCAAATGGATAGAAGGGGGGAAAGATGTAAAATGCAAGGTAATGGGAAGAAAGTCTTTTAATACTCCTAAAGGACCTGTTTTGTTGAGATGGTAAAACAGAGAAGTTACAAGAACAAACATTGACTGTCTCACTTTCTTTTACATCTTTGCATCTTCCATTGGTTTGGCCATTCCCTGAAGGCAGAAACTGTCTTAACTTTCAATCCTAAATCTCACCTAAAACATTATTTTCCCTTAATGTTTAATAAATATTTGTTGAATTGAACTGAACAGAAAAAGTTTCTTGAAGGGAATAGATGGGCAATTCTTTTTTTATGTCTATGATGAGATTTTATTTGAAAGTCTGTATTTAAAAAGGGGATGTTGTAATGCCAGAAAGATACAGGCCAAATGAATGGAAGTCAAAGAAGAACCACAAATATGACAAAAAGCATTTTAGAGATTGACTTATAAGTGAAGATTAAAAGAACTAAACATGCAGAGCTTGACTAAGCAATAATTAATGGAGAACTTGATAACATTCTACAAATATTTAAAGGAGGGAGGAAGGAGTAAAAGAATAGCATGAGAATATAATCAGAGGTAATTGGAAGAAATATAAAGGAAAGTAAGTGAACTCTATTAGGCTGCGAATTCATTTTCTAAGACCCATAATGGAAACCCCATTTTCTTTATTAAATCTCCAATCAGAGAAGTCACAAGAAAAAAAAACAAATGAACTATCCTATATTAATTCAGAAAGAGAGAACATATATTTATAAACCCGACAACATTTTCCACAATGAAACTTTCTTATAACTTTACTCAAAGACTGATAATGTAGCATACCTGCACCCCACACACATGCACACACACACAAAGACACACACACATCCTAAACTGGATTTATTTTTACACAAAATAGAAAGAAGTGAATTTATCTGATTGTGATCTTCTGTTACCCAAACACGGTACTGGAATTAGACATAGCAACACTCACTAGGATCTGGCAGCCATCCTATGATAGTTGCTCAGTCTGCTCAGTTCTTACAGCAACTGTATATGTGAAGTAAATACACAGCAGTCAGAAATAATGTCAACAGAAATGATAGATAGATTGATGAGCATTCTAAAACTTCATGGGACTTTTTAAAAATATCCCAGACCCCATGTATTTACAGTCCCCCAAATGAAATCACCTGGTTGTTTACTGCAGCATTAGTACTGATTAAAAGACTGAGTTATACTCTATAGGTTAGGCCCTGCCAAAAAAAAAAAAGTTCTATTTTCTTTATAAAAGAATTGTAAAGCATATAATCTGAAAGTAACAAACAACATTTGAGACCAATTATCCACATGAGGTGTGTTTGTAGGAAGGGGAAAGGGTGAGAGGGGAAGCAATGTTATGTTTATGCTTTATAGCCAAGAAGATTTTAAGATCGCACATTTTAAAAGTTTTAACCCTGTATCACATACTCCCTTCACACCTATGTCTAAATACACATTTATTATATTAAATTATTATGTTATTACTATTGCATTTTATTATATTAAATATACATTTATGAATTTTCCTAAAAGGAAGAAGGATACTGCCATAACTTGCACTAAAAATCCAAAACTTGGAGAAAACTATTTGTTGTCATATATCAACAAAGTCACACAACATAGCACACACCACAGACACAGAGAAATCATGACTTTTATGATGGGAAAAAGGACTTTTTCTGGATAGGTGATAACTATGTATGATATACCAAGATCTGGGTTTTCAGCTGTGGAGCCTAAAGAAAATTATCTACACAAAAGAATTTAGAAAATGAAACGAGTCACTCCCATCTTCTTGTTTAATTAACAAAAACACTCCCATTTAACTCCATTTTTATCATGGTATTATAAATTAACTGGTAACTAATGGTTGACAACGAAGCTGTTACCATGAATGCTGCTGCTGAGAATAGTTAGAGATTGATTGTGATGAATATTGTTATTGTGCACAAGAAGCAACTTGTAGGATCTTTGGTTGCAGGTCAAAGGTTGATGGGGGGGTTGAGTTAGTTTGAAATTGGGATTTAGCTTCCCTACTCCCTAAGACTTGCTGGCCTCTACTGTGGTTCATGCTAAGAATTTCAGTCGCTTTCGAAGCTATTTGTCTTTTTAATACATTTCTGATGCTGAAGGTCTGACTTTGAGGGAAATGCCATACGGGTCAGGCTATAAGAATGGAAATGGGGGTTATTTCTGAACTGCATTGATTTTTAAAAAAAGATGCTGCCTTTTGATTCTTAATGAAATAAATTAAAATACATATGAAAGAAAAAAATATACTGCCTTTTTAAAAACCAGTAGTCATTATCCACATATGTTTAGATGATGATGATGGTGATGCTGATGCTGATGTTGATGATGCTAGCCATCATTCAGGTGGCACTTTAAGGGGTGTGAAGTATTTATTTGTGCCTTTTAAAAGGTAATACCTTAAAGCAAGTATTATTATCCCTCTTTTACAGATGAGAAAACTGAGAAGTCAAGTGGCTTGATCAAGGTCACACAGTTAGAAAATATCAGAGGTTGGATTGAAACCCAAGTCTTTTCTTACTCCAGATCCAACCCTGCTACATGCTGCCCACAAATTTAACCACTTCAGGACCTCTTTGAAATCATCTGATTTGAACTAACTATAGGTAAGAGAAGAGATATTTTTTGGGGGGGGAGGAAAGGATCTAGTAGGTACTCCAATTTATTTTTTTAAAATTTTTAAGCCTTATCTTTCTTTTTTCCTCCACTTAATATTAGTATTTTATTTTTTCCAATTATTTGCAAAGATAGTTTTCAACATTCACTTTTACAAGATTTTGAGTTCCAAATTTTCTCCTCCTTCCCTCCCTCCTCATCCCCCTCCCCAAGACAGCATGCAATCTGATATACGCTATAGATGTACAATCATATTAAATTTATTTTCACATCAGTCATATCGTGAAAGAATCAGAACAAAAGGGAAAAACCATGAGATAGAAAAAAACAAAAAAAAGAGAGAGAAAACTGTATGCTTTGATCTGCATTCAGATTCCACAGTTCTTTCTCTTGATATGGACAGCATTTTCTACTATGAGTGTAGGTGCTCTTTAAATGGAATGTTTGAAAACCATATTGAGGTATAGTCATCAAATTAAAATCAAATGCATTCAAATCCATAATCACATATAAAGTATCCATGGTATGTAGGGCAGGCCTATTCTAGGTGCTGGGGTGGAATACAACATTTAGAGAAGATATGGTTATTATCTTTAGAGAACTTATAGTCTGTGAAGAGAGGACACCAATATAGGTAGCTATGGTTAAAAAAGAGTTACAACATGGTGCTATGTGAATCTGAGGGGGAAGGTCACATTCATTACCAATGGGTGATCAAGAATTACTTACTTGATCTATGGGCTTGTTGAATCTTAGATTGGGCTTATTGAATCTTAGACTCCCAGAATCTTAGAGCCTGGAAGTGAACTTAGAAGTCATTTGGTGTAGCCTAATGTATCCTTTCAGTGCCAAACAACTCTAAACCTTTTAAGTATACAAATTCTTTTTTGATCATAATTAAAAAGAAGGAAAAAGGAATCAATAAAACAGATTGGAATTTTCTTTAACCCTACAAAAACACTGAGAATTAACTAGCATACACTATAGAAATTATTACATAGTGACAACTCAGCTTTATCCCACATCTCCAAAATATATAAAAATAATTGTCTTGTATAAACATGGAATTAACTAGCATATGGCATTAAACTACAGGCTGAATGTTACATAGTGACTATAGAAAGTAATGACCTGAGGACCAGATCTATTTTATAAAAGAAGGATGGGACCACCCTAATATGTAGCACCTTTCACTGTTAGTAAGTTCTTTCTCAAACTGAGCCCAACAACTTTCTACACTAGTCCTAGTTCTGCCTTCAGCAGCAATATGAAATAAATTGAACCCCTTCTTCTAGGTGATAGCCCTCCAAAAGTTATCATGTCTCCCTCTAATGCTGGTTCTTTTCCAGGCTAAAAATCTCTAGTTCCTTATACCATTCTTTACGTTATATGCTTTCCAGACTCTTCAATATCACTGTGTTAGTTTTGGGCCCTCATTCTACATTTTTGAGATTTTTTTGAATCTTTAGCCTGTCATCCAACTTTGTGCAAAATTGATAAGCATGCCTTTCTGTCTTCATTCAAAGTTTGATAAAAATGTCAGACTGGATTGATTCTTTTACAATTTTCAATAGCAATAGGATCAAATAATATAGGCATTATACAACTGTACAAAATAGAAACAAGGTATATGTGGTAGGCATAATATCCTAACCCAAGCCCCCACATAAGTTAGGCTAGATTTTCCTTAAAAGGAATTAAAACTATCCTTGAGGTTTGATTGGCTCATGGGACTAAAGGCTCAGGCTATTGACATCACTTCCTTGTTGCCTGAATATAAAAGAGCCAGGAGGAGCTACAGGCCTTCTCTGCGGCTTGACTGGTGGAAAACAATGGGCAACTCAGGCAAGGGAGTTTCACTCAGCTGAATCAACCTGACATGTCCTCAATGCCTATCTTTGTTGAATATCTTATGCCTACCGGCTAAGTAAATTTCCTTTTGTTAACTGTTGAATGACCTACAAGTGTTTCATTTTGTTCCAGTATTGAACATAAACTACCAGGGGACTGGTATAAGTGAGACCCAGCCCAGAAGAATATGACATGTACTTGATTTGGTTAGAGTATTATTACGGATGAAATTATGTATATATATATATATATATATATGATAGTCATGGACAGCTTCTTTTATGTTATTGTAGTGGATAAAGTGCTAGACTTGAAATAAGACAGAGCTTGGGTTCAAATCCCATCTCTGCCATTTATCAGTTATGTAATCATGTGTAATTCACTTAACTTTTTTTGAGATTCAGTTTTATCATCTGTAAAATGAAGGTAATAATACCTATAGTACTTTCCTCACATAGTTGTTGTAAGGGTCAGATGAAATTATGTAAAGTACTTTATAAACTTTATAGTGCTATTAAATCCATAAAGTACTATATCAATGTCACTTACATGGTAATCTATGTAATTCTTTCTTTCAAGGATAAAATTTGAAACCATTTTTATCTCTTTATGTGTAACTATCAGGCCAATATGGAGGTCCTTGGAAATTAAACACTTAACAATCTCCTCAACCTACAAAACTTAGCTTAGTTTGGTATTTTGTTTCAACCTGAGAGATGATGCTTTTATCAACTGGACCAAACTAGCCTCTAACCTATGGATGGCCAGAGTCAAATGGAGCAGGCTAGAGGTAGGAGAGTCAGGAATCAAACAGAAGTTTAATTTCAAAGTGAGGGAAATGACTTTCAACCTAGGAGGCAAATTAGAAACATGTGCTGGGGCCCTGTCCCTAGTGGGGGGACCCACTTTAGTGTGGCTAAACCCCAATATATATACCAATGGTTATGCAGTGAGCTGTAGCCCTAACAGCAACAATGTGACAAGTATGATTTGTCACGAAGCGGAACTTCATGACCAGAACTTGTCTGAGCTTGCTGGGTGCTTGTCCAAACTCAGGGAATACCTTGTGCTAGCCAAACCAATGCAATAAACATGTGAAACAATTCTAGAATTGGTGAGCTCAAAGGATTGTTGTTATGTCAAGCTCAGGGCACAGCCTGCTTGCTGGGCCTTAGCTCTGGAAAACGGGGAGTATCCTAATAGTATCTTGACACTTTCTATCACCAATATGGAATAGACTGATTGAAGCAGGCTAGCTTTGCTGAGTCAGACCTTGGCAATGTTGTTTTATTTATTGTTCAAAGTGCTCTTAATTCTTACACTATCAAGAATGCAAAAATTTAAATATAAACACAAAAGTAAATATAAATTGCTTTTTGATGATTTTCCATTTGGAATGATGGTCATCTCTGGTCACCTCCATTAGCATTGTCAATTGAGAGTTGACAATGCAGATCTAATTTGGAATTAAGACTAGTATAAAGCTCTTTTGGCTTGGGTTGAGGATAGGAGATAAAGTTCTAAGTTAAAAATATGAATCTACATACAGATGTAATCATTGAAATTTAATTCCACATTACATTTTTCTAATTTCATTGATCATCCATCTTACTTTTCCCTATTAAATGTAATTTTGTTAGTTTGGTCTATTTTTTAGTCTAGGAAATTATTTGAAGTACCCTCCCCTCCTAATCTGATATAGGAAAGCTTGAAGAAATAACTTCAGCCATATCTATATTTTTCTTTGTATATTTTTAAAAAAGACTTTGAAGGGAATGACTACTGCTAGACATGGGAGGAGCCACTTCATGAGAGAGAGAGAGAGAGGGATAAGTGGTAATATAATAGTGGTGTGTGTGTGTGTGTGTGTGTAAAAGGATAATGTTTGCGGCAGCAATAGAACTGAATAAAGGGGTGTAGTTAGTCATTTGAAATTCGTACACAGACTGCCCTATCCATTACCTGTCTCCCATATTACACCCGTAATCTCCCAAGGCAGATATGTTATTACACTCAGCGGGCCAAGTTCAGCCCCTGCTTATATACACACAACTCCCACTGACTTTGTGCCACTGAGGCACTTCAATGGGAATTGTCTGAACATAAATTTAGTACACTATAGTCACAACCACAGCAGGTGTAGTTAAACAGAGAGACCTGACTGTATGTTAAAAGGTTGAGGAACAACAAAAAAAAGCTGCCAGTTTCCACAGGAAATCTGATCCCTAGAGCATTCAGGATTGTACGCTGATACACACATCATTTTTCAATCTTTGCCCACAACTGGCATAATACTGTGCTATGACTTAGGAACAACTTAGACAAAGATCTGTAACAAGGCATAAAGTTATAATATGTATTCAACAACATTTTTTTTGAGTGAGAAATTCCCCTGTAATTATCCTTAGTAGTTAAAAAAAAAGATAAAGCATGTGACAGAGGAGAGTTGAAACTAGTGAATATTTTAATAAACTTTTTTTAAAAGATAAAGAAGAGTAAAGTTCTAACAAGCTAAATGAGCACCAAATGGAGATTCCAGAGTTTTAAGATATGTTAATAATATTACATAGTAATTACATATATTATAATTATTTTGATTTGAGTAGCAGAACATATACTTACCAATTCACATATCTGAAAACATTATTATATTGAATTAAAAAAAGAGTTCACAGGGAATCTTGAAGGTAATATACTAAAAATTATTTGTAAATTACCTCTTGAAATTCTTATTCATGTTATTTTCATAAATCTTCTGTGGAGGATCTTCCTAATTAATTAGATGCCTTCGTCTCTTATTCTCATTCTTTTAATATGAGTGGTACTAACACACTCACGTCTCTCATTTTTGCAAAATGACTAATCTACTTCCTTTCCCCACTAAATAAGCATTTTTCAATCACTTTTTAAAGTCTATGTATAGGCATAGGCTTCATTGGACCTTAGGGGTGGGTGACCTTTGCCTCTCAAAGGCTATGACAATTGAGAACACGCACTGGTTGGTCTTACCAAATTGGAAAGTCTTCACTTGTGAGGATGGTGCTAATGTATTTTCTGGATGATAATTTTTATAACAGAGCTGTGCACACACAGCTTCTGCCCAATCACTCTAGAATGTGCTAGAACTAGATTAACATGTAACTGGGAAATATTTAACAAAATAAATAAAAATACAATAGAACATAACTATTGTTAATATGTGATTTTCTAAGTCAATATACAGCTCTCAGGGACCTTTATATATAGTTTAGTGGCCCCAGCTTTTATTGGAGTTTGACATGACTATTTAACATCACTTCTTACAGACTAGGTATTGTTGGTAACTACTAAAGCCTACTTATGGTCATAGTTTATTGACACCTGCTAAAGCCTACTTGTGGCCATTGTTCGTCTTTCTATTGCCCTTTGGGTTATCACTGTGGCTACGCAGAGGTCATTGTGTTCCTTAATTCAAACCCATATGGCATCATCCGAAGAATAGTGGTGTTAAATAGTTTGGATTTTGCATTCTTGAGGAGTTTGGGATTAAGAAAAGTACTGTGTGCTTTTTCATATGTGATCCAGCTTTATCTCTTTTTACTCAATTCCTTGTCCAGCTCTTTCTTTACCTGACATTTGTGTCTGGTATATATATATATATGTATATGTACCACTCCTTCTAGGCTCACTTTCCCAACTCCCATTAGCACTAATAGGTTGGGTCCTCACAGGCAATTGAATTCTCCCCTCAGGGTTCAAGGGATGACCCTCAGGGGTTATGGTTTCTCATTTGAAGTTGCCATACATAAAATAATGTAGAATTGGATTCATATTTGCCATGGTCACCTGTCTGTAACAAACAAAGGATGACTCACTTCCACTTCAGCAAGAAGAATCTTGTTGTCCCTTGTGGGAATCCCCATAAAGTTAATTTCTGGGTATGGCCTAGCTGGACTAGTTCTTTGCATGTCACACCACTGCTTTCAGCTCAGTCCACTATTCATTTGGGTCAGTCATGTTCTGTCCTCCTCAGGGAGGAACTGTTCACCAGACTCAGATAGTTTTGATAGATTCTGAGATACTGAATAGCTATTGAGAATCTTTAATAGCTCCTTTGAGCTTTTGAAGCTCACAAGGTTGTAAACTTGTCCATTCTATCTACAGACACACTTTCACCTAATATTAGAATAAACATAAATGAAACAAAAGAAACAGAGGCACCACATGATTACAGGCACATCATAAATATGGGAGATAGGTCTCACTGCCCCTCCCCAATCTGACAGCTCACAGTGATGCTCCTCATTCTGACAGGGAAGAGTGCCAAAAGGGCCAAGGGGGAGACATAACCTTCCTATGACATTTGAACTCAATCCTGACTTCGTCAGTCCTCATGTATCTAAAACCAACCACACAACATCAGCCCTCTGTCTCTCATGGCTAGAAGAAATTTTCCCGAAATATCATGTTATTATATTGAAATCAAGAAGGTAATATGATATACTAATCCCAAAGGTTGCCTATCCAATGGCATGCTAAAATATGTATAATTTGAATTTTAATTCATTTAAATTTTCTAGTCCATAGATTCATCATGGTGTGGAGTGGCAGCTCAATGACTATATGAAAGTTCTGGTGGTTTCTACCAATTGGGAAAGTCTCTGAGTATAGGCTTGGTGATGGAATCTATGTCTGCCATCCAAAGACCTTCCCATAATATGTTATCTTCCCTGAGTAGAATGTAAGCCCCTCGAAGGTAAGGACCACATTGCTTTTTCTTTTTATATCCTCAGTGCTTATCATAATGCCCTACATAGAATAAGCATTTAATAAACATTTTTTCTTTCATTGATTCATTAATCACCAAATTGACAAAAATGGTAATACAATGTTTGGCTATAGCAGCTTTTAAAACTATGGGCTAAAAGTTGGGTTAATAATAGCTCTCTCTCTCTCTCTCTCTCTCTCTCTGTCTCTCACACACACACACATATGTAACACATATCACGTTATATACGCATATATTAGTTTAAGGTTTTCTACATATGTAGCTCATCAGTAACAGTAACCTTATGTGGTAGGTTTATTATCCCATTTTGCATGAGAGTTTATGTGAGTAGCTGAAGGTAACAGAATTAAAAGTGTGGGAAGTGAAATTTGAACCCAGGGTTTCCACAACTCCAAGTTCAGCCCTCTAGCCATTTATTCCGTGGAACTCTGTGGTTGAGAGGAGCTGCGATCTGCACTAGTGCAATGGGAAGGAGTATTTACACTAATGAAATCATAGACTCTAAAAATAATGAAGCACCATTAAGTATGGATGGTTAGATGGTTTTCTTTTAGATTACTGTAGATTCCATGAATGAGGGTAGCAAGAAACCCATAATGTTCATTAAATATTTATATTGGAAACTGAGTAGAATTAATATTAAGATGTTAAAAATCCATTCCTCTCTTCAGATTATTTTCATATGATCTGTATATATCTTGTATGTACATAGATAGTTACATATTCTCTCCCTCATTTGAATGTCCATCCTTTAAGCAGTACTTTTCTTTCTTTTTTTTTTTTTTTGGCCTTTCCTTGTTTAGTTGTTTTTCAGTTGTGTCTGACTCTTTGTGACCCCAGTTGGGGTTTTCTTGGCAAAGATACTGGAATGATTTGCCATTTCATCCCCCAGCTCATTTTACAGATGAGAAAACTAAGGGAAACAGGTTTAAGTGATTTAAAGTGATTTAGCTACTAAGTGTCTGAGGCTGGATTTGAACTCAAGTCTTTCTGATTCCAGACCCAGTACTCATCTACTGCACCACCAAGCTGGCCTTTCTTTGTACCCCAAATGCTTAGCACAGTGCCTATCATATAGTAAGCACACTTAATAAATGCTTGTTTACTGATTGACTGGATCATATTGACTGACAAACCAATGAAACATTAGTTTTAGGCAATGGTACTGGGACCTGTGATTTCATTGGTGTAGCCAACTCTCTTTTCCTTTACCAATGCAAACCAGCATGTTCTCTTCAACTTAGTGTCTTGAAGAGTTGCTTAGCATGCTGAGACTTGCCCAGGATTAGGCAACAGTATGTGTCACAGGCAGGAGTTGAACTCAGGCTTTCTCACTCCAATCTTTATGCCCATTTCACTGTAGTTTACTGCCACTCAATAGTACTGACTAGAATATTTTTTAAAAATTAAATATTATATTTTAAAAAGTTATATCACTCTAAAAGGTTTTTGCTATATTTCTTAAAAAAAAGACAGCATTGGTTTGGGTTTTAAAAATATTCTTGAAAATAGGTCATAATGTAGAAAATAGGAAAATTCAATTAAGTATGGAATTCCCATTATAAAATATGGCTTTAGAATTTTCAAGTCACTTTACCTGCTTTTGTTAACTATAATTTACTGAATTCAATGAAAGTAGGTATTTTAACTAATATCAAAATAAGAAGATGCCTGTGAAAAGTAGTTAACTTAGAAATTTCAGAAATCTGTCTTTATTTTAGAGGAGAGAGAGAGAGAGAGAGAGAGAGAGAGAGAGAGAAAGAGAGAGAGAGAAACCCTGTACAAAGAGGTAGTTAAGTAGAGAAAGGATCCAAATCATAAGGTGAGGTTGTGCTCTTTGTCATGGTCTGGATAGTAAAAGAAGCTCAACTAAAATTTATAACACAGTTCTAGATCATCAATGAAAAGTCAAGACCGAGATCTATTGGAATCAAAGTCAGAGTCAATCCAGGATTTTTAGTGAAGAGACCCAAATAAGATGAGCTGAAACAGTCAACAGAGTCTTTTAGGTACAGGGAGGGATTCCATAGATATCTGGATAGACTTGAGAAAAGTTCATAGGCTGATAGTCCTTATATTGGATTACAGGTGGTTTTCCAGCCTGGTACTCGATTTTAGCTGTTTCTGCCCATTCTTTCCACTGTTTCATGAGACATATACATTTAGTCTTACTGACATGTATTTCTTCACATTTTTTATCTTTCATGGGTGTATACAAAACAAATAAGGATTTTGAGAGAAAACTCGTGGTTAAAATTTTTCATTTACAATAAGAAAATTCATGGACAAATCCAATATGATGTGCTCTAAATAAATTTGTCAATTACACATGTTTCTCACTGAAAGGGTACTTCCTTAACAAGTACTTTCTAAGTAAAAAAGGGCTCTATTCCAAATTATTATTCATTTATTGAGTGACATGAGTGAGATTAAAAGACAACCAATCACCAACTTAATATTTAGTTTCTTGTGGAGGTTGGGTTTCTGCAAAATATAAACACAATGTCTGTTTTCTTATGTTTTGAATATTTTTAAAGGCAGTGAAATCTTTTTTTTGTGATTTTTTACAGTATGCTAAAAGCATTTTCTCACTTGAAAATTATAATTCCATTTGAAAGTTTTGAGTTTATGCCAGTGAGATGTAAAAATAACAGGAAATATTTTTATATGCTTTACATAAGGATTGACTGCAGTGGCTGGATTAGTTGGAGAGGGATATGAGGTAGCACAGACAACAAAGTGACCTTTGTCAAATCATTGAAGGTCCTTTGTTTATCTATTTTTATAAAAAGTAATGGGGCCTAGGAATAATGGCTTATACCTAAGCCATCATGGTGGATTGTCCAAACTTTAGTGTACTTAACTGCAGTGGACTAACTCTATTGGATGTCCATACTAGGTCTGGCACCAATATGGTGAGCCAATGGGAGTACCAGGCAGAGAGATACCAGACTGCTTAAAGAGGGGAAAGGGTCCAGTCAGAAATGGAGCATATTAAAGCTTTAGTGCTGATAACCAGTAGGAATAGGCCATGAGTGGCCACTGCACTTTCAGCCTGGCTGGTTTAGGAAGACCAAGAAAGAAAGGAAGGAAGGAAAGAAGGAAGGAAATGAAAGCAGAAATCAAGGTTATTATACAACTAGATCATAAGGTTTAAGGTTGTGCTCCTTGTCATGGTCTGGATAGTAAAAGAACCAGAAGATTTTAAAGACAATGATAATCATAATAAAATGTTGGTAATAATAATGATGGCTTACATTTATATAGCATTTTAAATTTTACATGGTATTTTACAAATATTATTTCATTTTACAACCAGCCTTGTTGAATACATACAAAGCCAAAAGGCTCCTTTGGATAAGTGATTTGTTCTAGTGATGACTACTTTAATAGGGCAATATTTCCCAAATCACATTGAAATGTGATAAATTATGTTGTCTACAATTACATAGGTATGTTATATGCATGTACATGTTAACTTTTTTCTGTAAACAGCATGAACATTTAAACACTTAAATTTTCATTTTTAAAATCACTGAACACAAATCTATATTAAAATTATATTTAAAAATAGATATCATAAATATATCTCCTAATGAATTTCTAATCAAAGCAAGAAATTGACCCTGAGTTTTCAAAGACAATGTTGGCTGAGGGCAAACTGTCAAGTTCTTTAAAGAATGAAAAACTTGAGTTTGATCCCAAGAACACAATGAGTCTGTTGTCCAAGGACCAGCCTAGCTCAAGATAGAGTCTCACCATCAGTAGGTTGACTACCAGGTGATATATTCTTTGGTCATGGCAAACTATGAAACAAAAAAAAAAATACAAAATGGTGTTTACTACTCTAGTACAATCCCCTTCTGCTTCCATAGTGACAGTTACAGAATGGCAGCAAGGAGGTCAGGACTCTCCGCAAACATTAATTAAACTGCTGGTATTCCAGATGTAAGATTTCTGTTTGATGACCAGTGAGTTGAAATGTCACTGGAGGAACTAAACTATCAAGGTTGACATTCTTCAGCAATGACATAAAGAAGCTGCAGTTCGACAGGAGGATAGCTTATAGGATCTCCACGAAAAGGTGAACAAAGGAATTGCCAGATTTGGTTGCATCATTCTCTCCAAAGCAATAAGAAACATTATTTAGTGGAACAAATCAAGTCAACAAGAATTTATTAAGCAATTAACATGTGCCAGGCACTTATTATATGCACATATTGTGCAAAGCACTAGGGATACAAAAAATAAAAGATAACACATTTCCTATCACCAAGGAACTTGTGTTCTAGTGGGGGAACACTCCATGCAAACAGCCATGGACAACTATGTATACATGATACATATACAGACACGCATATGGTAATTTGAAGGCAATCTCAGAGTGAACATTCTATAAACTCATCTTGTGCTCATGAGGAACATAACTAAAAAGACTACCATGAACATTATTGTAGTTTGTGTGCCAACAACTGTTGCAGAGGATGAAGAAGTCAAGAAATTTGGCAAAGAACTTTATTAATTCTTCCAAATGAAACCAACATATATTTCATCTTTGATAACTTCAGTGAAAAAATAGGAACAGTGAAGAATGGAAAAATTATTTTGGGGAAAATATTGTTTGGGATTGAAAAACGAAAGAAACCAAGGGGCTGAGACTACTTAGGTGCCAAATGCCCAGATATGAGTACATTCTACAAGAAGAGAGTTGAATCGTAATAAGCATGTTGTTGTCCAGTTATTCAGTCATATCTGACTCTTTCTGAACCCCTGGACCATAGGACACCAGGCCCTTCTATCCTCTAATATCTCCCAAAGTCTGTCTAAGCTCATATTCATTGTTTCCTGGACACTATCTATCTATCTCATCCTCCACTATCCCCTTCTCCTTTTGCCTTCAATCTTTCCCCAAATCAGAGTCTTTTCCAGTGAGCCCTGTCTTCTCATTATTTGACCAAAGTATTTAAGCTTTAGCTTCAGTATTTGTTTTTCCAATGAATAGCTGCTTAATTTTTTTAAAGAATTGGCTGATTTGATCTCTGGGGCTCTCAAAAGTCTTCTCCAGCACCACCATTCAAAAGCTTAGATTCTGTGGCATTCCACTTTCCTTATGATCCAACTCTCCAAACCATACAAACCACATGGAAAAACCATAGCTCTGACTAGATGGAACTTTTTTTTGGCAAGGTTATCTCTGCTTTTTAGTTTGTTGTCCAGATTTGCCATAGCTGTCCTTTGAAGGAGCAAGAGTATCTTGATTTCATGGCTTCAGTCACCATCAGCAGTGATCTCTGAGCCCAAGAATAAAAATCTGACACTCCTTCCATTTCTCCTCCCTCCATTTGCCTGGAAATGATAGGGCCAAGAGCCATAATCTTACGGTTTATTGTTTTGTTTCGTTTTTTGATGTTAAGCTTCAAGTCGGCTTTTGTACTCTTCTCTTTCGCCCTCGTCAAGAGGCTTATTAATTCTTTTTCACTTTCTGCCATCTGAAAATATTGTCTGCATATCTGAGATTGTTGATCCTTCTTTCAGCTACCTTAATTCCAGCTTTTGATTTGTCTAATCTGGCATTTCACATGAAATACTCTGCATATAAGTTAAATAAGGTGACAATATGCAGCCTTGTTATACTCCTTTCCCAATCTTAGACCAATCAGTTGTTCCATGTTCCATTCTGTTTCTTCTTGGTCTGCATACAGTTTCCTTAGGAGACAAGTAAGATGATCTGGCACTCCCAACTCTTTGAGAACTTGCCACATTTTGTTGTGATCCACACAGGCAAAGGCTTTAGTGTAACCAATGAAGCAGAAGTAGATGTTTTACTGGAACTGTCTTGCTTTCTCCATAATCCAATGAATGCTGGCAATTTGGTCTCCAGTTCTTTTGCCTCTTCAAAAACCAGACTGAACTTTTGGTAATTCTTGGTTTATATATATTGCTGAAGCCTAGCTTGCAGAATCTTAAGCATAACCTTGCTAGTGTGTGAAGAGAGCACAATTGTTTGGTAATTTGAACATTCCTTGGCATTGCCCTTCTTTAGGACTGCAATATAAACTGATCTTTTCCAATCCCATGACTACTGTTGAGTTTTCCAAATTTGCTGGCATGTTGAGGGCAGCACCTTAACAGCATCATCTTTCATCATTTTAAATAGCTTAGCTAGAATTGCAACTCCTCCATAAATCACACAAAATAAAAGTTATCTTAATAAACACTAGTTGCTAATGTGAGAGTTATTTTTGAATTGCTTGTCTGTATACTGCTAGACTTCTGAGTACATTGATCAAAGGTCAAACAAAATGCCAAATTAGAAGAGAGATAGAAATGAGAAGAAAACACACTACAAAAACTATAACTTCAACCTGACATTTAAATTAGTAGTGCATTTTAAAAATAAGAAATGGAAAGAGGTAAAGATATTGACACTGATTGCAACCATTTTTAATAAAAAATACCCTATTTGAAATATTCAACACCACAAGGAGGCTAAAATAGCCTAGAAGCTACCTTAATCAATAAATACTTGATATCTTTGCCAAGCAGAGAGACGTGGAAATCAAAGGTAACATTTATTTGTAAAACATTATAGAGGAGGAACACAAAAGTTTTAAGCAGTGTTGGCTCACAGAATAGCAAAAAGATATGGAGGTAATAAAAAGTCTGTAGAAAATATCTAATGAGACTTAATTAAGCTAGATCATCTCAAGAATACTTACAGATGAAACTGGAAATAGAACAACTATATAGAAAATGGAACAGATTTGCCAATATTCTTATGGTGATGTATTCTCATCATTAATGAAAAAAGAACAAATAAATTTAGACTCTTTTGGCTCTCAGTACCTACACAGGGTACAAATAGAAAAGATATTCCCAATATGTAGTGAGGTCCTCTTGTTGTTCATGTTTGTGGATGATGTTGTGCTGACTGATCAAGCCCTAGAAAACTACAGGGCTCTTTTAAATAATTATTTAAAAGAGTTGGCCTAGCAATTCACAAAGAAAAAAAAGAAATTGATTAAGAATGCCTTTTGCCCAGTCTGTGACATGTAGTTCATCGAATTAGGTCAGCAGCACATTTATCTTAGACAGACACTGAGATGACATACTGAATAGTAGGAACTAGTAGGCTAGATAGATTTCAGAAATAATATTGTACTTTAAAAAAATCCAAAATATCTCTGTGATGTGGAAGCCTACTTTTTAACATCAATATTCTCAAAGAGATACACTTTGTGAATACAAATCATGGAACATTAGAGTTTCCAAAGAATAAAAATTATTAGAGAATCTATTTCAATGGATTATGAAACAATCATGGGACTGAAATAGAGCCTAAAAGAATGAAAAAGCTTAGGCAATAAAATTTCTGTGGATTGGTAGGTAGGTAGATTACATTGTCTTATATCACCTCACAAGTATTTAGAATTTAGTTGAGGGTCAGTGTCAAAGATGCCAATAAAATGTTCAGATGATCTTACTAGACCTTTCCTCAGAGTAATGGTAGACATTTTATAATCCTTTCTTTTCTTTCCACTAATCCCTACCTTCCTTGTGTTGCTTCTCTCCAGCCTGACTGGCATTTACTTTTCTTTTCTGTAGTTTATTTTATCTAGTATGGCCCAATAGAGAAGCACTCTGGCCATCATTTGGTTTTTATTTGTATAATTAGTTAATTGCTATTTCTTTTATAATGTTTTACTTATCACTATAATTTTCTGTATTTGTGTCTAGGGGTAGTCTTGTGAAAGATTATATTTTAAGAATAGTAGGATTGATTAATTTCTTCTTTAAAGGGGTTATTTTTGCATTTAATACTATCAGTTTTCAGCTGATAGTATTAAACATGTTAAATTTATAATTCCTTTGAAAATACTTACAAGCTACAATTCATATTTTCAGTATGCTTACTCTCTGTATATATATATACTACCCAAGTGCATATGTATATATAAATTCATATATTCTGTAACATAATAAATAATTATGTTTTAATGTAGAAACTTACATACTATGGAATATAATCTATTTTAATACACAATTTCATAAAGTATATATAATATATAATCTTGCATATCTATCTATTTTTTTGTTTCCTCCCCTATGACACCTTTGAGATTGGAAGTGCATGATTATGACCATTTTACAGAAGAAAAAACTGAGCCTCAGAGAAGTTAAATGACTTGGTTAAAGCAACACAGCTGTTAAATGTCTAGGTCTCTAAAAGGTCTTCTGACCAAGATTTCTCCTACAATACTACTATGCAATGTCATATCTTTGCAACAAATAGCACGAAACCATTAATGCTAGATCCAGGTTCTCTTTCATAGGTAGATAGATATAAATATCTATTCTTTAGATTTATCCAACTCCCCATGTTTCTATTATGGTACAATGAAAAGAGGGCCAGAATTGGTGTCAGGAAGATGTAGATTCAAAACCTGGCTCAGACCCAGCTATTACTTGACTAAAAACATTATTTAGCCTATGTCTTAGTTTGATCCTCAGTAGAAAAAGAGTTTAGACTTACAGGCTTCTAATTTCCCTTCCAGATCTAAATCTATGATCCTGGAACAGCATTATGATTCTTCCCACCCCCACCCTCCTAGTGGTCTGTATAATCTGCTGATTGTACAATCATTCTATAACTTCTGTGACATACTGGATCTGGTGCTGGATTTGAAGTCATAATGACTTGTGTTCAAATCTCACCTTTGATGCTTCCCATGTGACTCAGGACAAGTCACCCAACCTCTCTGGGCCTCCAACAACTCCTTAGGACCAATATGCTAAATCACAAATAGGTTATCATGTGTAATTTTGCCTAAAGCTAGAATGCCATATATAGATACCAGAGGCAGTCAAAGAGGCTAATGTTTGCCAAGGAGGAAAGTCACAAGGACTCAAAGCTGTGTTTCCGTCTGGCTCTGCCACCAACCAGATGTGTAATCTTAAACAGGTCACTTGAGCTTTCTAAACTCAGGTTTTTCACCTATGAAATAGTGGGGTTAGACTAGACAATTGCTAGACTAGACAATTTAACATTCTGTTAATCTAATAACGTTTACATATTTAGACTTCAGTTACTTATAAAGATTAGTTAGCGTCTTTAAATTCCATGGCATAGGTAGTTCTCTAAATGTAGATCTAGTCTTGATAGTATCAGGTTTTTTGGTTGTTCTTGGTTTCAGGGGGAAGGGATGGTGAGGATTTGTGATTTCTTTGGTTCTGAAAATTCTGAGTGTGGAAACTCCATCCACTGACTTACACCAAAAACACATATGAAACGTAAGAGTGTTACAGAGTTGTTTGGGGCACTGAGAAATTAAGTGATTTACTTGTGGTTACATGACCATCAGAAGCAGGGCTTAATTTCAGGTTTTCCTAACTTCAAGGATAGATTCCTATCCATTCAACCACATTGCCTTTCATTTTACAGAATCATAGATTTAGAGCTAGAAGGGACCTTATGACTTTTAAGGTCCCTTCTAGCTGTAAAACTCTGCTGGTTCCTGAGAGGAGACTGAGGCCCACAGAGGTTAAGTGACCTGCCCAATATCACACAGACAGTAAGTATGAAGAGTGATTTTTAACTGAGATGACTTACTAGGATTTGTTTTTGGACTGGAAATCTAACAAAAGCAAAGCTTCAATCTTTATCATCTCTCTTATGCTATATTTGTACTTTTCCTAGAAAAAGTAAGTCCAAGAAAACCAGACTGGAATATTGCCCAATAGTCAATTGGATGGAATACCTGAGCTTGTCATGTAATGGAACTGGGAATAATGTAAAACAAAGAATGTGTAGGTTAGTAGTTGGATTGGAATCTCACACAATGAATAAAATTAGGTCCCTTGTAATTCCTATTTCTGTGTTGCATTTTTTATCAGCTGTTTTTCTCAAGACCTTTGAATTTACTGTCTTTAGTATGGTTACACTACCAACCCTGTCCTGTTTGTAGAGCTTACACAGGGTGGCAATAGTCTGCCAGATTTCAGTTTCATAATTTCAGGTATTGTTGCCATAGAGGGCAAGAAAACGGAGGTGTTAGGTGTGTGTATATATATATATATATATATATATATATATACACATACATACATATATATATACACATATGTATATGTATATATGTATATTTGAAATGAAGAGAGGGAAAAAATCTACATTTCAATGAAAATACTTTCAAGGCATTTCAAATAAGAGTTGGAGAGAAATAATTACAAAGTTTGGAAAGAAAGAATCTTAGCTTTGATCTGCCTTTCTTCTGTAAAGCAATTAAAATAAGCAATTTTTCAAATACTAAGCAGAAAATTACTAATGGCTGAACCCAAAAGCTTTCATTTGCTTCTTGGGGCTTTCATTCCTCTAAAAAAAGACAAAAAAAATTAAGGTGGCTTTCCAGATAGATTAATGCATAAAGCATTGACTGGTTGGCTGTCATAAAACTACAGCAGCATAGAATAGCTGAGATTAAGAGCTAGATTTAAATCATGCAACAGTCCAGTTAATATCAATGTCTAATTAAGAAATGCATAAGAAGTCTGTAATGTTGATTTGATGGAGAAAAACTCTAATAGGGCTCTATTCGAATTTTCCATTTCAATTGCCTTTGTAGACTTGTAATGGCTGTGTCTCCTACACAGTCTTTGGTATTCACAGGAATCATTTTGGAGTTAAAATCAGGACCTGAAGTGGAACATAGGTAGACAAAATTAACTCATCTGGAGCTTAGGCTTTATAAACAAAAAAAAAATTTAACAGTGCTTGAAGATTTAATTTGAAAGACTACTAGAATTGGACTTCAAAGTTAAGCTTCACTTTTTTCTTCACTTCTTAAGCCTTCAGATCAATCAACATTCACATGTAGTGAGATATGAAATACTTTGTCATTGACTGAAGTTATTGTACCGGATGTGTGGAATTGTAATTGTACTAGCTGCATAGATTGTAATCTCTTGCTGTGTCTACCCATCACCAGCAATGTGAATAATTAACTATTTGTCTGCCATTGAGAAGGCATGACAAGAATCACAAAGATTGACACTGTTGATATTGGGATGTATCATATGATTGGGTACTGCTTCAGTGGTCTTCTTGGTTATTCCTAAATGCTCTCAAGTAACTGAATTAATGACTCTTTCAATCTTTATGTTTCTAATGGCTTTAGAAAAGAGACAGAAGAAATAAAGGACTAGTCCTGTATTAAATCAGTAATGTACATGCTATCACTACCTTAGTGTTGATCCAGAGGGAATTAGAGCAGGATTTGAAACACTAAATAACCCTAATGACACTAGGAAGAAGCTCACCAGGGAGTTGTTTAAGAGTTTGTCAGAGCACATTAAAATACAATACATTCACATAATAAAAAAGGGTACATTGTTCCATCTGTCTATACATTCCTTTCCAATATTATATTTGTCCAGGGACTTTTCAAAATTACGTCACCTAACTCTATCCCTTTACTTAGTGAATAAAAAATGTGCAAAAAATGGAGACCAAATCAGAATAATGTATACAAGTGAAAGTCTATAATTTAAATCATTATTGCTTAAGATACCATTGCTTTAATCAGTCCTTTCATAAATCAGTCCTTTTCACATAAGAAGTTCTTAAAGTGCTGTTAAACAAATCATGTCTCTTAAAAGGAATGATGCAATCGGGAAGCTTCTGAAGACAGAAAATTCTTTTTAGCTTCCGATCCAATTCAGCTATTTTACACAGTGGCTTTAATTCTATAGTTACCCAGTTATTTTTTGGAAATTATGTTATAAATATTTATGCACATGGTATTGCATTTAAATAAAAAATAACATTCCTAGGAAAAATTCATACCTGTCAGTTATTGCTTCTACTAGTTGGGAATAAAGTCTTATTTTTCCCCCTTCCTTGCCTGACCTTTTGGATTCAGTATATTGCTATATTGGTAATATGAAGTTTGTTATTTGACCAAAATCCAGAATAAAGTGTTTCTATGCTGTCTAGTGGATTATTTGAGGAAATTTAAGTCAAAAACATTTATTAAGGGTATAGTATATGCAAGGTACATGCTAGACATGGGGCATCCAGAGACAAGGAAAAACAAGTTTCTGCCTTCAATAAGTTAACATTCTCTCTATCCATAGGAATATAATTTTTAGTCACTTATATTTGGTAAGATATTTTGCAGTTTGATGGATAGATTTTTTTAAAAATATTTTATTTATTTTTCAAAAAGCCAGGACAGTTCACTTTTTGTCCTGTGTAGTTTTCATTTATGATTTCTTGAAATATAACTCTGAAAAAACAGGCTTTAAAAAAAGCCCGTTGTGATTCAAATGGAGATACTTGACTATATCTTTAACCCAAATCACTCTGGCTTTCCTTGAATGACCAATAATAGTCCCCAGCCCAAACCTCTGTCACTCATTGTTTAGATTGTGATGGCTTAGAATGAGTATAAATCGCAATTGTTTTCTGTTTTAGCCAGAAACCCCAAGGGCCTTCCCCTTCCGGATCAATATTTTTTTGGTGGTAAACTAGGCTGTCTTGTTCTTTTTAAGGCAAACTGATGCATGCCTACCCTCATGACTACCTCTATTCCCAGGGGCTGATCATGCCAAACTTAGTGTAGATACCTAATTGACATATCCCACTGCAGCTCAGAACTCCCTAGCTTCATTCTTCCTAGGAGCTGGCATTATAGGAATGTCTGGCTATGCCAATTGTTCTTTAGTATTTGACCAAATTATCTACCTATGTAGCAATGGCCATATTCTGGACTTCTGGCAAATAAAGCATGTGGCCTTGAAAGCATGGAAAGAGCTAAACTATGATCTGGACTCTTCATTTGCATATTTCATTGTAATTGTTGGTTGGTTGGTTGGTTGTCCATTCTCAGAGAGGATCAAAATGACATCATTATGTTGGAGCAATGTACAATATGTCTGACTGTGGCTGATCAGACCAATATGAGGTTGGAAGGCCCAACCACAGGTTGAGCACAAATATTCCCCATGAATATTTTGGATGTAGATGTCTCTAGATTTGTGCATCTCACATTTCTTTTGAGCTACTGCAATTCTGTTTTGCTCATAGAGTACAGCACCTTCTTTGATGAGAGTATGTCATGCTGGACAATCCCGTGCCAGTATCTCCCATGTCACACAATCAGTTCCAAAGTTCTTCAGAGAGATCTCAGTGTAATAATCAGGTTAAAAAGTAATCAGTTGAGTCAACTGCACCAGTAAAATCAGCTGAGAAGTTGTTATGTAGCAGAAAGCATTGTTATACAAACTGTGCCCTGTGGCTATAAAACAATGATCCATGTTCCATGTGTGGTATGTATACGTACATACATACACAGCCACATGTACACGGTCGTTCCTGGGATCTCTCCCTCTACATGCAGCCTGACCAGATTCCAGTTGATTGTGCTCAGTTCTAGAGTCTGCCACAGAGGAAGGATTAAAAAAAAATTTAGAGAGGGTTTGGGGAAGTCACTAGAACAAATAAAGATTTGGAAAGTCAACTGCAAGAAAGGCAAAGGAAATGAGAATGTTTAACCTAGAAAACAGAAGACTAACAAGAGACTTAGAAATGATACTTAATATCCAAAGTATTTTATGAAGAAGTTTAACTAACTCTTTTTTTCCTCTTTCCCTGAGACAGAACAAGATAAGATAACATTAAACTGTGGTCCAAACAGTTTAGGTCAAATACAAGAGACAAGAGTCAGATGTGGCTTAGTGGATAGAGATCTGGCCTCAAAGACAGGAAGACCTGGGTTCAAGTCCTGACTCTGACTTAGACTACGATGTGACCAGTAAGTCAAGTGACTTCTCAATTCTCAGGAAAGATGTTATCTTGCATTAAAAAAGAGAAATTTCCACACCAGGGAACTCTTCATAATTATGAAATCATACTTGCAACACCTATCCTATAAGGAAGAACACTTTGAGAGTGGCAGTTGTTGAATATTCTGATGGATTACCACATGAAGTTATGGAACTTCCATCTGTTGTTAGAGTTGGGTAGATTCTTATCTAGGTATGATGTCTTAGATATATGTGGAGTTGAAAGGATATAGACATTGACTCTTCAGTACATCTTTAATGACTTTGATTAAGAGCTGTTTAAAACTTGTGAGTGAAATATTTTAAATCTTAAAGCAGGTATACTATCTTTTTGTTTTGCAAAGTTATTGAACTAGCTTATCCTAATATTTAAATGGATCTCTGTAATGTATGTATTTATGTATTCCTATAATGATGCAGTTCACTAGGTCAGTCCATCCTATGGAAATCTTGTTCATAACCTCCAGTGAATTCATCATAGGGACTCCACCCATCATTCAGGAGGCTTGCCTTGTTTTCTGGTGGATAATTTGCAGGTAACAATCAAGCACCTAGGATGGTCATGATTATCTCTCACTCTCACCATATGACCATGGGGAGGGGAAAGGACATCTTTTTAATTCATACATTTGTCAGAGTCACACTTCATTTTCCAACTAAACTAGCCTTTTTGCTCTTTTTCATAAATGAAATTCCAGTTCCCATTTGTTCCATATGCCTGGAATGCACTCCCTCCTCACCTATACTTCTTAAAATCCTGAGTTTCCTTCAAAGCTCAGCTCCAAAATGAGGTGTTCTCCCATCCCTCAGTTACTAATGCTCTTCCCCACTGCTGAAATTATCTTGTATATATTTTGTATGTATTTAGATGAGCACACATTTTCTCCTTTGGTAGATCATAAGTTCTCTGACTTGTAATATTTTAAGTACTGGGGATACAGCTGCCTGGGACATAATAGGTGCTTATGAAATGCTTGTTGATTGATTGATTGGTCAGTACTTGA